ACGGCAGCGGGCACCGCCCAACCTCCCCCTCACCCACCACAGCGCCGTCAGAACACCGGACGATCACAGCTGCGTCTTGCCGTCGGTGCAGACCCGCCAGGTAGCGCCCCCAGTCGGACGAATCAGGGCGTGGCGTGCAGCACGCGCTGGAACACGATTGAGGACTTCCCCCGGTAGCGAGCGACCGCACCGTGCGACCTACGGCCGTCACGTGCCGGGCCGCGTGCTGCCGTGCGCCCGCCGCACGCAGCAGCGGCTCCGCTCTGTGATGAAGGCGAAGGGGACGGGGCACGGGGTCACGTGACGTTCGGTCCCACACTGTCGGGTGAGAATGGCGGTCCCGGAACTGGTCCGCCGGCTCAGACAAACCGGGCGACTCAGCGCGCTCTTTGCGTTTCGGCACAGCCCGCAGCAAGCAGATGCGCAGGCTGGCGGTACCGTAAGGGATGGGGAGAAGCATGCTTACGCCCATTTGTATTCAAATGCACCATGCATGTATGCACAGCAGTCTGCATGAACATCTAGCGAGCTGTTGCCGGCCCCACTGGCTGCACGCGGCCACTGGAGGAGGCGTCAGCTCGTCGGGATTGACGATTCATGATCCTTAGTCCTTGATCCAATGCACGTGCCATATGGTCTCGACATACTCTCTTTGGAGGTTTCCTTCACAGCATGCCTCAACCTCCCTTCCGACTCGTTTCTGTCGACTGCCGTTTTTCTACTTCTTTAGTTTAAGGTACCAGGCATATATGCCGTTATCTTGATGGACATGCTGTAATACAGCTCATTTTTAGTTGTATTTATTAATAGTACATAGAAGAACCGTAACGGATGCCATTTCATCTGGTCATGGGTGTCTCGTTTGCAGGCAACCGAACTTGTACATGTAGTTTTTGTCAGCAAAATGCCTGGGCATGCCGCCAAACGCGTGGTGCACGTCGAAAATTGGTGTAAACGAGTTTGGTCGCGGAGGTCGCATGTGGTTCGGCACCTGGCATTTTGCCGCTGCTGCTGGTGCCCTGTATCACTGTCGCTGCAACGCTCCCAGTCAAATGATGACAATCGCTAGAAGCATGCCCCTCGCGACATGCGCTCGGTGGGCTCCGGCACGCGGGCCTGCCCTGCCCCCCCCCCCCCCCCCCCCTCCCGTCCGTGGCGGTGCTGCACGCCGCCTGCCCATCCCCTGCGCTGTCCGGTGCTGACGGCGCGTGCGCCGGTTGCAGGCGGCGCAGGCGGCGCTGGGCGAGTACAAGGACAGCGCCTCGCGGCTGCACCAATGGGTGCGTCAGCAGACGTCGCGCATGCAGGAGCGCAGCCTGCCGCCGTCGCTGCCCGAGCTGCGCGACCTTCACGCACAGAGCAAGGCGTTCAAGACGCACGAGATGCCGCCCAAACAGCAGGAGATGGGGCGCCTGCTTCGGTTGTACCAGGACCTGGAGGTGAGATGCGGTGGCGCACCAGGGTCAGAAGTGCGATTGGTCGTGTGGCTGGGAGGCGCATGAGGTCCATGACACTGTTGGGCCGGCCAGGATTATGGCACCGGCGATCTGCTGCGGATCCTGTTTTCACCTGCATGGTGTAATGGCTGAGGAGGGTTTGCGACGCTCCAAAAACAGTACCGTCGCATACAGAACATTTGATCTATGCTCTTCGTATTTGATGGTATCATCTTCGGACCCAGTGCAGCAATCAAAATAAAAAGTACTGCATCGCCCGTACCCCGCGCAGCAAGCAAAAGGATCATCGCCTTTCATTGATGTCCAGCGCATGCTTCGCCGTTGACATTGTCGTAGTTTGTGCAATTGCATTGCACAACAGTAGCGGCCACACGGTTCTGAATGGACTGCGCGCCTGAAGACCGGCCGCTCTCGGCCTCTGTTGCGGCGGTGACCGCGGCGCGAGGCCGTCTCTCCCTTCACGGCTCTGACATCGCCTCGCCGTCGGCAGCGCTCACACCACGACCTGGGCAAGATGGACCTGCCGCCCGAGCTGCATATCTCGCTGCTGGACCGCAACTGGGGCATCATGATGAAGACCTACCAGGAGCGCCACCAGCAGATCGAAGACGAGCTAAGCCGCATGGAGCGGCTCCAGCGGCTTGCTGACAAGGTCAGCGCCCGCGCACCGCCGGGTCACGTGACAGGGAACGGGGGAGGGGGCGCCTGCACAAATCTGTCCACAGCCACAGACTGAATTTAATGTGGCCGAGTGGCTTAGGAGCTTGGGTACTCTTTCCGGAAGGTCACTGCGCGGTCAGCATAAAGTTGCATGTAACAGAACCGCGAAGACGTTCGGTGTTTTCATGACAACCAAACTGATGTGGATTGTGCAATTTTATGCTGGATGTTCACAGGGGTTGCCCAGTGGTTGATGATCCGGCCAGGCACACCCTTTCTTATCATTAGGCGCAGAGGTCAGGCAACCTGTTCCCAGTCGGGCTTGCAGGCTGAGCTGCTGAAATTTAAGGGATTGGCATTGAATTTCGACAGGTAGTCGGTCAACTTCATGGACATTAACTGGCATGCACATGCTTCGAGTTGTCGTATGAGGCTGTCCTTTCCAGCTATTCCCGAGACTCCACATGTGAGTCAATGTATCAGTTATTACCCTCACGTTGGTGAGCGAAGGGGCCAGACGTTTTCCTACGTGGGCAAAGGCTCTGTGCCGGCGGCCAGCGCAGGAAGACAGAACCTGCAGGCGGCCGGTGCACGCTCGCCCACCCCTCGCATGTGACCGATGCCCCGTTTGTCACAGATCCAGCGCGATATCCGAGCAACCGACCGACGGCTGAACGACGTGCAGCAGACCATCCGCGACGAGGCCAAGCGACTGCCCAAGATGAAGCCCAAGGACGCCAAGATGCACGTCGAAAAGGTGACGATCTCTGCAGCGCGCTTTGCGCCTTCCTCGATCGTAGATCCCGAAATGGTGTGCTGGCAGTTAAGACAATTTGTGTTGATTGTTAGCAGTGTTTGCGGTCACGAGTCGGCGGTTGAGTGAGTGAGCGAGACATCGTCTCGGGTCGAGAATCCCTGCATTTGTCAGTTATTCTTTGTAGTATTTGCGTCGCTCTCCACCAAATCCTGCCAACGTTGTGGCTCAACTTCTGTTGATGTGATTGGAGCCTTGGCAGCTTAACATACCTGCCACTTGGCTCGACCACACTGGTGGCGTGGTTCGACCACTGGTGCGTGGGTCGACCACTGGCAGTGGGGCTCGACTATTGGCGGCGTGGCTTTCACTGGACCGCTGGCGTCATGACCGGACCACTGGCGGCGTAGCTCGACACTGTCGGTGTGATCTGAGTGCTGTCGCTGTAATCTGACTCCTGGCGGTGTGATCTGACTCCTGGCGGTGTGATCTGACTCCTGGCGGTGTGATCGATCTGACTCCTGGCGGTGTAATCTGACTCCCGGCGTGTGATCTGAATCCTGGGTGTAATTAATCTGACTCCTGACGGTATAATCTGAATCCTGGCGGTGTAATCTGACTCCTGGCGGTGTGATCTGACCGCTGGCGGTGTAATCCAACCCCTGACGGTGCCGCCAGATCGACCTGGAGCTGGCACAGATCGAGGAGACGATCAAGGGACTCTTCTCGGACGTTAACTCGCTGCAGGAGGGCCGCCACCCGCAGGCGCCAGAGTTACCATAACGTGCAGCAGCTGCATAACAAGTGGATGAACGTGCACACCAGCATGCAGGTACTATCCGCTATTAAACGGCCTGGCTAACCACGATCATTGGCGGTGCAGTGTTTACCTTGTGTTGCGGCGTAAGCTTTTGATTATTGTCGAAAACATGTATAAGGTTTTTCTGTCGATATAATTTGATGCATGTTCCTACCAAGAAAAGGGTGTATCGGTTTTAGGTGCATAATGAAGCACATGGAGCTTAAGCTAAATGGTGGCTCCTTCTCCAAATATATGAAAGGTATCGCCTTCGAAAGTCTCCCTAATCCGGACATGTTTCTTGTGATCCCTTTGGCCTTCGGGCAACCGCTGAGCAGGACGCAACCTACCTCACTCTTTGGCTCGCAGGACACCCTGATTGGGCCGCTCAGTAAGCGGATGAATGAGGACCCAGACGCCATGTTCGCGCGGCTGATCAAGACCGACGAGAACTTCCGCTTCTTGCACGAGTGTCTGGAGTGGGTTCGCGAGAAGCTGGTAAGGACGCGGCTGCGACCAGGCTCACCTCAGCCGTGTACAACCGCGCTGAAGCACAAACTGTACGAGGCAGCCCGGGAACCTGAGAGTTACGCTCCGCTAAAAACGCACCGCAATCTATGTTGGTATGATGTGCTAATTATCGTGCGCATTGCTCAGGGCGAAGGCTTGTCTACGTTGTATGTGAGGTGGCTATTTTTGAAAATGTCGTCAAATGAACGTGCACACCAGCATGCGGGTACTATCCGCCGTTTAACAGCCTTGCTCTTCACGGCCATTGGCGGCGCAGTGTGTACCTTGTGTTTGAGACAGTTGAATAGATTCAGTTACACTCGTCTTGCCCTGTCATTCGGAATAATTACCAAAGCACTCTACACTTCGCCAGGGTCAGCTTCAAGAGGCCGAGTACGGACACGACCTCCACTCGTGCCAGGAGGAGCTGGAATCCCACCACAAACAGCACAAGGTCATCGACCAGTTCCAGGTATGTTCCTGTGGAGGCTACTGGTCAGTTTCAGGGGCTTGCATCCACAGAAATGAATCCAACTCGCGCAGGTGGATGGCAGCAGGAGTAGTGTTCCTGCACGTTCCGGGATCACGTTAAGCGTGTTCCTGCTTGGCTCGAGTTGACAAGGCATTACAGCTCGGCGGAGGTGTCGGTGGCAGGCCAGCCGGCCTTGGTCACCTGAGATGTGTGGTCTGTGATTGGTTTATTTTGCACGCATTCCCCTGGCTGTTACGTACCATACCAGCACGTGTTAGCTCTGACCCTCCGGATGTCGCCTCTTAGCTGTGTAACGATTAGCGCGATCAGCTCTGACCTGACCCCGCTATCGCCGCCAGGTGAACCTGGACCGCTGCGTGGCCGCCAAGAACAACTACGACCATGATGAGCTGGCGCTGTACATGCGTGTGCTGAGCCAGCTGCAGAAGACGTACGCCGACCTGCTGTCCATCTCCAACAAGCGGCTCTCCGACCTGATGATCCTGCACGACTTCATCCAGGGCGCCACCAACGAGCTCATCTGGCTGAACGAGAAGGAGGAGGCCGAGGTCAACCGCGACTGGAGCAACCGCAACCAGGACCTGCGCCAGCTGGACGCGCACTATGAGGTCAGCGACGCACTGGAAGGCGGAGAGGGGAAATCCGTCTTCCTTGCCGTGTGATGTTGGTCGTTGTTGTGAAAAGTATGGAGGAATACATGAAATACGGGACAGGTCCAATATTCCGAACGAGGTGGTAACTGTGTATTCAGCAATATTTCATTTAGCTTCTTAAACTTGCTTGATTCCCCGAAGTCCGCAGCGTGTTTTGTTTGAGATCGAGAGATGGCTAATCTCCGTCCTCGTCGTGAAGCTGCTGCGGCTGACGCGCGCCGCCGCTGTTGCAGCACGTGATGAGCGAGCTGGAGCGGCGCGAGCGACAGTTCAACGCCATCCAGGAGCAGGGCGGCTCGCTGGTGGCGCAGCACCACCCGGCCTCCAAGACGGTGGAGGCTTACCTGGCTGCCATGCAGACCCAGTGGTCCTGGCTGCTCCAGCTCACACTCTGCCTCGAGACGCACCTCAAGCACGCACAGATCGCGCACAAGCTCTTCCAGGACGTGGACGAAATGGCGCACGTTATTAGGGAGTGAGTCGCGCTGTGGGGTGAATGGGTCGTGCTGTGTTTTCCTCGTAAAAAGTGAAGTGAAAAAGTTTGGCGTTGTTGCCTTAAACTTCGAGCACATTTTAGCCGGAAAGTGCTGACTGAGCCTTGTGTGAGCAGCCAAGCAATGTGCCTCAGTCAAGCTATATGCATCTACTTGTCGGGCTATGTCTAATTTCGATTGAATCGTGAATTTTTCGTTTAACCCATCGCTATCACCCGCTGGCTCACATCACATGAAACACCGGTGTGCTCACTCTTCCACGGGCCCCGCGTCAGCCGTCTAACCCCCGTCCGCCTCACAGACAGGACGAGCGCCTCAACACGGAGTTCAGCCAGACGGACTTCACGCTGGACGAGGGCGAGCAGCTGCTGCGCGACATGCAGGAGCTGCGTGACCAGATGAGCGGCCAGGCGGAGGTCATCGACGAGCTGGAGCGGCGCGCGCACCTGGTGACGCCGCAGCGCCAGCGCCGCGAGCGCCTCGACGGCCCGCTGCCGGTCACCAGTATCTGCCAATACAAGAACGCCAACGTGAGTGCCGACCGCGCGCTGGCGGGGCACGGACCTGTGAGGGTGGCCGCTCTGGCCTGAGAGGGGTGCGTGGAGGTTGGTGGGGTGAGGGTGGATCTGCCGTGGAGAAAGATTCGGTTTCGATGCCTGGCTTTACCCGCTCTGTGGTGTCTCTTTTCTCCTGCTACTCGGTCGTGTCACCCACTCGTCCCTGCGCGCAGATGACGATCCAGAAGCAGGAGAAGTGCACGCTGCTGGACAACAGCCACCGGACCAAGTGGCAGGTGCGCTCAGCCGGTGGTCAGCAGGGCGCGGTGCCTAGCGTCTGCTTCCTGCTGCCGCCGCCCGACCAGGAGGCCCTGGAAGCGGTGCAGCGGCTCAAGCGACAGTACGAGATGTCCATCACGCTCTGGCAGCGCAAGCAGCTGCGCATGCGCCAGAACATGATCCTGGCCACCATCAAGGTGGTCAAGAGCTGGGACCTGCAGCAGGTGAGGACATGCGAGGTGGGGGTAGCGGACGGCTACGGTCGGCGACTGATGACGGGTAGGTTGGCAGCGTTTGGCTTGAGTGTTAATGTCTTACTGCAGCGTAATCACACGTGCGTCTCCAATTTTGTCGTTTCCATCAAGGTAGTTGACTTCGTTATTCGCCATAGGTAAGCTGATGCGACAGACGTGTTTCAAGGATGTTCAGTAAGGGACTTTTAAAAACCTAGTTCTGTGGGCCTTTTTGAAAGGACAAATAAGTGTCTTTTATAGAGGCCGGTTCCATAAGTGACTTTTTGCTCGGCAGTTCATGGCGATGGGCAGGGACCAGAGGGACGCGATCCGACGAGCTCTCAACGAGGACGCCGAGAAGCTGATCCAGGAGGGCGACCCGAAGGACCCGCAGCTGCGTCGGCTGCGACGTGAGATTGACGAAGTCAACCGACTCTTCGACGAGTTCGAGCGTCTGGCGGCCGAGGGTGAGTGGGCTGATTCGGTCGCCGGGCCGGTGGTAACCACCTGCGGCTGGCGGCGGCAGAATCTGGTCAAGTTTACAGGGGCTCTTTTACCAGCCGACCGTGGCAAACATTTCAAAAATTTGGTAGGATGTGCACACTTACCAGCAGTTTGAAGGGGAGATACATGCGTGAAAATTGTTGTCTGTTTTATTCTAGACACACACATACGTAAAGGTTAAGTGCGTCGGCAATGGTAGTATTAAGAAGCACATGGCTTTCTCGCAGATAATCGGGAGTGCTAAGCGCATAAGTGAGTTCCTTTTTCCATACCATATAGTTTACTTTTGGCACACCATAAATGCCTAGGCCGCGTGCCAATTCGGACCCGTCCTAACATAGTGCGCCTGGCCGCCGCAGCGAACCCGACCAACCAGTTCAACACCAAGGTGACGTCGCTGGAGTCGGAGCTGACGAAGGCGGAGGGCGAGCTGGCGGACCGCTGCACGGCGCCCATCCCGCGCGACGCCCGCGACGCTCAGCGGCTGGTGACCAAGCACAAGGACTGGGAGAACCGGCTGCAGGTGCGCCGCGCCTCCCGTTCTGGGGGCTCCGGGCAGAGCAGAGGATAGGGAGTCTGACCAGCGCCGGGTCCTAGTAGATTGAGTCGTTTTTGACCGGTCGTGGCTTGTGCGAGAGAGGGCAGGTATGCTTTGCTGTTGGACGAAGCTATTTGTGGAGGCAGGCCCGCGCCGTGGTGGGCGCTGGCTCGCTATCCTGCTGAGCCACGCTTTACGTAGCGTTAGGTGAGTGTCTGTCCTCGCTTAGGTCGGGCGCTGTCCACGTCAAATGTCTGCCGCGTCGTTCACATCTTAATCTACCGTGGCTTGCCGGCTTTCCAAGCATGCCAAGCGCAATGTGTTGACGGCTGGACTGTGCTGTGAATTTTACCATAGAGCGTTTGTGAACGCTGTCGGGGCTCGAGCCGGCTGAGTTAGTACCGAGGTCTTATGAGCAGTCTGGCGTACACTGACAAGTCGGTCCCGTCCCCCAGCGTCACGAGCCGACACTGGAGGAGGTGCGCACCATATACGACTCGCTCAGCAAAAAGACGCCCACAATGCAGGCTAAGCTCGACAGAGTGAACACGCAGTGGGAGAGCATCTGGAAGATGTCACACACTTACATTGAACGGTATGACAGGTCCCAGCGACTTCCGTGTGACGTTTTGGGTTGGTCTGTGATTTATACGCCTGGGTTGAGTTGGTGTCGTTTGTCGACCATGCGTCTTTATTACCCGCCATGATGATGCATGGCACTGATCGACATCCAAGAGGGCTGTGTGCGGAGCTGTGGGCTGCGTGGCTCATGTGTTACATCGCATCCCGTTAAAGATGCAACATTTGCCTATATGCCTTATAGCTACAAATGTCAATGTGGACGGTCTGCTTGGCGTGGTTGTCATTATGCTGTGTGGTGTTTCATCCCCTGGTGATTAAGCCGCGGAACCACGGCATTAAGAAGCATTATGCTAATGCCGACTCAGGAGAGGCTACAAAAGCGCCCTGTCCACGTCTCCTGACAGTAACAAAGTATCCCGTCATGCTCTCCGACGGCCAACTGGATTAACGCCCTGTCCGCACCCCTGCCCGCAGTCTGAAGTGCGTTGAGGTGACCGTAAATGAACTGGAGGAGGCTACCAATGTGGTCAGTCACCTGGAGGCCAAGCTGAGCGACTACCGCCAGCTTCCCGACGACCGCGAAGGTCTGAAGTCGGCCCACCTCAGCCTGGTGGACCTGCAGAACAACCTGCAGAAGAAACAGGTGCGCCCGGGAACGGGCAGGCGATAATCCCGCCATCGGGAATACCGATGTGACAGCGTTGCATGGGTGGTATTTGCAAGGTGGTTTTGCCTGGTAAGACTGTCGTGCTTAGTCATTATGACGTGGGCATTACTTTACGGACCGCATGTAGAGGCAGAGAGTACAACTTGGGTACTCTTGCTGTCCACGCAGAGTTGTTAGTGATGGGCTCGTCGTCCTAGGACACAACTCTATCGCGCTCTTCGCGCCTGCGTGTTGAAGCCGCGCTGCTACGCTACCGTCTCGGCGCAAGGCGGATCTGTTCGCTGCACTACGCTCCGCGCTGTATGTTGCTTCCGTTCTGACATAGTTCCGCTGCTCTCCGCCAGGGTGCGATCGAACAGCTCAACGTTGACATGGGTAAGACGCGCAAGACGACGGAGCGGACGCGTCCCCGGCAGCGGAACCACCCGGACGTGGAGGAGCTGGAGGACGACGTCAACCGCGTCACCAAACAGTGGACCAACTGCTGCGAGGGCGTCGTCGACAGGTGCGCTCGGGCTGGACACTGCGTCAGCGGAGAGCTCAGATGGCGCAACTGTGGGCTTGGCCGCAGGTCCCTTCCTAGGGGGCTGCGTCAAAGGTGGCCCGTGTCTTCATGCTCGACTCTTATAGGCTAGGGCCGAGTAATCAGTGGCCTGTCGCATTCATGTGATGGTGCGAATGCTGGTCGTTTCGACGAACGACATCAGTCACCTGTTTCGACATGCCGCCGTTTTACTCAAGCTTGACCGAGTTCGGACCACTGTCGCCTTTCATGGCAGACTTCGTGAAATGACGGCCATGACAGGCATTGTTGCCGTGGACTCCGAACCCGTCGGCCCAGCATTATGTCCAGTCCACCCGTGTCTGTCGTCTGGAGGGCTTCGGGAGGCCTGGTCACGTGACCGTGCGGCGGCGCCGTCGGCAGGCTGCGCTCTGTGGACCAGGCGGCGGACCTGCTGGCGCAGTACGAGCAGAAGGAGCGCATGGAGCGCCAGTGGGCCTCGCAGATGGAGGCGGAAGCGCGGCACCGGCAGCAGGAGGAGGAGCGCGCTCGGGTCAGTGTCACGCCGCCCTCGGTCGCCGCGGACCGCGGGCGGGCCTGGCTGCCGGCCCTGGTGTTGTGGAGGTGCTGTGTCTGGCACGTCACATTCTCAACAGCCGATCAGGAGAATGCCGCAAGAGTGCTGGTGGACGGCGACGCCGGGCCCGCTCACGCCGGACACTGGACATGCAAGAACACGGGCTTTGTTAGTTCAGAATTATACTGGCAGATCCAGTATAACAGGAGACTCTGGCTGAACGACGTTATCAAGCAAACATTGGCTATTTTCTTAACGCGCGATATTTCAGGTTGTGCTTTGATCACGAGTGCATGAGTGACATGCACTCGTGATCATAAATACAGCTTGGAATGTCGACCATCAACAATATAACCAAAGTTTGTTTGACAACATCGTTTGGCTAGTACCGCCTGGTATATCGAGGGTCAATAGCCGCCAGCGTAAGAACTAGAAGCTCTTATTGCCGAAAGACCATGGTCTCAAGACCTTCCTTGCTGATATCAAGGGCACGAGCTTTGTTGTTTTTAATGTGAGGCCATTCGCTTTGCTGCCCGACTCGAGAAGCTAGTCTGGAGACGGGTTGGAATGGACGTTTGTTGATGCATTTATACATACGTGCGTGTAAACGTAAGCTAGCTACAATGTGGCTTACGCTGCGTCGCACCCACATCGGGAACGAGATTCATCCAGACTGACAGACGGCGAGGTAATTGTTGCCAGTCGGCATTGTAGTGAGATAAGCCGACTATTGAGCTCGTCTGTGTGAGCGCTCCATGTGTCGCCTGTCTGTCGCCTGTCGGGTGACGTCAGGCCATGTCACGTCCGTGAAACATGCAAGGAGCAAGAGCGCGCGGCCCGCCATCGTGTGCCCGTCGCATCCTGCTGAACCTCGCTCTGTTGTGGCCATTCTCAGCAAGCGGTGATCGAGAAGTACCGCCAGTGTGACGAGTCGATCGCCGACTTCCTGGGCTGGATGGCCAAGGTGGAGAAGCGGTTGGCCAGTCAGGAGGAGGTCCAGGAGGACGTCCCCAAGCTCCGCAACCAGATCAACGTGGTCAAGGTCAGGTCATCGCCCGAGGCGGTGGTCGTAATTCGCCGCTCTTGACAGGCCTCAGTTCTCTGCATCTGTTGCGGCGAAGATGTTGTGCAGTGTTGTAGAGCCAGCACTTAAGACCTACACCGGGCTAAATAATTTCAAAATATAATGTTCACCCCGCGGCACTAAGGAATTTTAAAACGTCATGTTCGGCAAAGCTTAGATCACTGACGTCTTCAAGAACTGGAATGCCGTAGGCAGTTTTTGTCCTTGTTCTGCGCATGGATCGCGTCACGTCAGTCCTCGACTGTTCAGAAACGGTCCACAATCGCTCTGGTTTGCGTGTGGCTAGTTTCCACCTGGGGTCACTCTGGCATCAGCTTCTACGCCGCTCTGTCTGACGTCTGTTGTGAGCCGACCGTTGCGCCGAGGCGCCCCGGCCGGACGCTGACCTGCCGTCGCTGCCGCAGGCCATCAAGGATGAGCTGAAGCAGCAGCAGCGCCCGGTGTTCGCGGCGCTGGACCAGGTGCAGGACGTGGCCGAGCGTGCCGGCGACATCCTTTCCAAGGACGAGCTCAAACAGCTGCAGCACAATGGACAGGAGCTGCGCCAGCGGTAGGCAGAGGCGGAAGGCGGCTCGGTCCGAGGCTGGCACGAGCTGCGTTCTTTGTGTTGACTCGAGTGTTAAGCGGAACTCGGTAGGTAGCCTCGCAACGCGTCATAATGTTAACGGGTGTTAATTTCGCTCAAGTGTTGTATTGTGAGGATGTCACGGCATCCGTATTTGCAAAACTGCGGCACGATGTCACACCACGGCCCCGAGCCGTCGTGTGATGGCACCGAGGCCGTCCTGCGGCCGCATGTGTTAGTCTCGTCCCGGCGCGGCCCGGTGACCTCGGCGACCCCGGTGACCTCTGCTGTGGTCACCGCAGATACGACACCGTGACGGACCGCAGCGACCAGCTGCTGCGGAGCCCTCGGCGCCTGCCTGGACGAGCTGAGCAAGTACCGCTCCGACCTGGACACGTTCGAGGTGAGCGGCCGTGCTGCCGCGGCCGGCCGGCGGAGGCCGCCACTCGGGTCCGCTGCGGACGCTCGGTGATGATCCGGCACTCCGGCATGCGGTCAGAGTGTGGTGTTAAACGTTCGGTCGGGAGACTAAGTCTGGCCGCCGTACACGTTGTCGCGTCCAAAGCGACTCTTCAAGCGCCCTGTCGCGTGACGGGCCGGCACTCCGGCGTGCGGTCAGAATGTGGTGTGTGTGGTGTATGCGGTCAGAGTGTGGTTTTTAACATTCGATCGGAGACTTAAATCGTGCCGTACACGTTGCGCACCCCGTGGATACGCGTATCCGAGGCGACTCTTCAACGCTCTGTTGCGTGTCCAGATTATGTTATCTGCGTGATCTAAGTGTACCGTGCTGCCTCGAGGTCTGATTTGAAAAATTTACTGACACCTGCGCGACTTAACCGTCTATTGTTATGCTTGCATTGTATGTGCTGCTGAAGACCCTTTCCATTCAATCTACGTTCTGAGATGTTCATAAACAAAGACATGGTACAAAACAAAGCTTTTTCATTAGATCATGCTCAGGGCTAGCAGAAGGACGCAATGCTGCGCTCCTTTGTGTTGAGACGAACGCCTGGCCCCCTACTGACTGCCGCTCCCCGCCCGGGCAGACCTGGCTCACCCGGGCCACGCACACGCGTGTCGGACAAGGAGCGGCAGCTCTCCGACCTGGGCAAGCTGAAGTCGAGCGAGCAGGGCTGCCGTGACCTGGTGCATCGACGTCATCGCGCACCAGGCCCGACCTGCGCTTCATCACGGTCGCCGCGCAGAAGTTTATCGACGAGAGCAAGGAGCACCTGAAGACGCTCAACGACTTCCGCACCACCTGCACGCAGCGCATGGCCGTCATGTCGAGCCGCGCGACTACGGTCAAGGGGTCAAGCGCGAGGTCACCCAGGTCACGCAGGTCAGCGGCGGACGCGGCGCAACGCAATGACGAGGATGGTTGCGCGGTGGGCTTTGGTTTTGAGATCAGGTGATTGGAGGAATGAATGCGTAGGGTATTGAGGTGGTGACAAGAAGATAGGATACGTTCTTGTGTGTTTTTTGATGATGCGCGGGTAGTCAGGTGTGTGAATTCATGATGTTTATGCTGAAAATATTATTTAATTTCTGTATTGCAGTGGTTCAACTCTCATTTTTCCCCGGACGTAAAATGACTACCAAGGGCGCGTTTGATTGTCTGTGAAGCCGCTTTAGAATGTCGGCTATCAACCTGTCCTGTCTGTAGCTGCACGCAAAAATGAGGTTCGCACGATCCGTTTTCGCCCTTAGTCTCTCCCCTCACTCTGTAGTTGCGTTACAACTCCATTCCTCGTCATCACACGCCATTGAAGATCTTTCACAGCACGACACCGCACTCCACTCCCGCAGGCGTACCAGGACCTGCTGGGCCGCGCCAACAAGCTGTCGGACAAAGTGTCCAGCCTGGGCGGCAGGCCAGCGCGAGTACCAGGACGCGCTGGACCGCGCCTAGCCGCTGCTGCGCGAGGTCGAGCCGCAGGTGCAGAAAGCTGGTGCACCGGTAGCCCGGTGGCGGCCGAGCCGCGAGCGCCGTTACAGGATCAGCTCCGACCGCGCCAAAGCACCTCAACAGCGACATGCTCTCGCAGGGCAAGTTGTTCGACAACGCACACGGCGTCGGCCGCGCAGCTGGTGAAGGCGCTCGAGGGCCAGATCACCCCGAAGGAGGGCGAGCGCATCACGCGCCCGCCGACCGACCTGACCGATCAGTACCGCCGGCTCTCCGACGCCGTCATCGACCGCTGCCAGGCGCTGGACATGGCGCTGGTGCAGTCGCAGGGCGTGCAGGACGGTCTCGACTCGCTGATGGCGTGGTTGAACCAGGCCGAGGCGCGGCTCAAGTCCATCCTGAAGCCGGCCAGTCTGAACCGCGATCGCCTGACGGAGCAGGTGCAGGAGCAGCGGCTGCTGCAGACCGACATCGACTCGCACCAGCCGGGCGTCGACCAGATCCAGCGCTCCGCGCGCCAGCTGCTCGAGACGCCCTCTAACGCGCGCATCGCCAAGAAGATCGAGGAGAACCTGCGCGAGCTGACGACGCGCTTCGACAAGCTGCACGAACGGTGCCAGGAGCGCGGCCGTCAGCTGGACGAGGTGGCCTCGCAGACCGACAACTTCTGGGGCAAGGCCGAGCGCTTCGAGCATTGGTTCGTCGAGATCTTCGAAGTGGTGGAGTCGCAGGAGATCATCAAGCTGAACGCCGAGTCGTACACGAGCAAGATGGACGAGCTGGCGTGCCGGCGTGACGCGGGCCGGCCCGACTACGAGGCGGCCGTGCGCACCGGCACCGCCCTCGTGGGGCGCCGTGACGTCACTGACACGGCTGTTACCAAGGACAAGGTCAAGGTTAGTGGGAGAGCTACCAGGTGGTATGCGGTGAGGGGGCCGGGTGGTGAGTGTTTGGCGGATAGGTGTCGTAGTTGAACGGTTGTGTTCAACGTGCCTAATGTCTGGTTTGCTCAGATTGACTGCTGGTTGATGTTGTAATAAGAACAGCATGTGGTTGTCAGTCGGTTTGTGGGTCATCACGTAAGCCTTGGTCGGACAAAGTTTGAGCCAACGGCGCTGAGCTGTGGCGTCTTACGGAGCAAAATGTGCCGCAGGTGCTGCAGCAGCTCTAACGCCGCAAAAGCAACTTGTCGCTACTGGTCTTGCTCTGGTCTGCTCAGCGTTTGGTGGCCGTCGTCGGTAACGCCGCGCCTCCCTGTTTGAAGGAAATGGAGGCGCAGTGGCGCGAGCTGCAGGACCTGCTGGACGAGCGGCTTCAGGAGGGTCGCACTCGCTCCGACTCCCTCAACGCCTACGAAAAGCTCAAGGAGGACGTGCTGACTTGGATGAAAAAGATGGAGACCCGCATCGACTCCCTGCAGCCGGTGGCCGTGGACCAGAAGCTGCTGAAGCAGCAGAGCGACGAGCTCAAGGTACCGCACTGCGTAGCTGTCCGTGGCCTCTGTAGCGTCGGTGTCACTGTCACGTGAGCTCGTTTGCTGTATCAGCCCTGACGTGAATCAACTGAGATATGCGTGCTTCCACTGGAACTAGCGTGTGATCAGTGTGTAAATTTTTGTCATGTCATATGAGCTGGACGCGGTCATTAGAGCTTTACTGAAGAAGCATAGAGGTGGCTTTTATGGAATCCACCCGTCGCAAAATGTTGTGCTGAGTGTCCTGCAGAGTGCAGGAAATTTGCGAGCGTACCGCGCGAGCATGAATTTTTTTCGACGCTGTTTCATCCTAGTTCGCCTTGGCCTGGTCGTCTGTGCCCCTTGACTGTAGCCAACCTCCTCCGCCGCGTCCGCAGCCACTAGTGAAGGAACACGGCCAGTACGTGACCACGATCGACAAGGTGAATGACCTGGGCAACCAGTACGACGCCTTGCTGCGGGCCGATCGGGCCGAGACGCCGTCCCGACGTCGCTCCTCCGTCACGCCCGCCAAGAAGACGTCCGTCGTCTCCCACGGACGCCGCTCCGTCACGCCTCTGTCATCAGGTGCGTAGCAGTCACGCCACTGACACCAGGTGCGGATCAGTCACGCCTGACACCAGGTGCGGATCAGTCACGCCTGACGCCAGGTGCGGATCAGTCACGCCTCTGACGCCAGGTGCGGATCAGTCACGCTACTGACACCAGTGCGGATCAGTACGACGCCACTGACACCAGGTGCGGATCAGTCACGCCACTGACACTAGGTGCGTATCAGTCACGCCACTGACACGAAATGTGCATCAGCCACGCCACTGACTTCAAATTGCATCAGTCACGCCACTGGCACCGAATGCGGATCAGTCACGCCACTGACACCAGGTACGTATCAGTCACACGCCTGACGCCAGGTGCGGATCAGTCGCGCTATTGATGAGCCACACCACCAGTCACTACCAGTATTACCTAAGCAGGAGCCTCGTCACGTGTTTGACACCAGGTACAGGTGACCCGCGGAGGTGGGGACACCGCTCACGTTGACATCAGGCGTGTCAAGCGGGTGGTGACAGGTAAAACAACTGCACTGGTGGTGGTGTGAAGCCAGCGTCTGTTGTTTTCCATTTGCTTCCTTCTCTTGCCTGCATGCTGCACAGATGGGGTGGAACGGAGCTGTAATCGCGTCGATTTGTTTTGTTTTCGGCACGTCCCACCGCTCCCCGTCGTTTAGCACAGCACTCCGGTCCATTTGGTTGGCTTTGTATTTTCGCTGCATACCTTTCCGTCGCCTTCGATGCTTCTGAGTTGTTCTTCGTTCTGTACGCGTTCTGTCATTGCACCGCCTACTTCTGTTCCTTCACGGCACACTCGCTTGGCGTGTTTTTTTTTGGCGTGTGCCGCTGACCTTCCCGGATGCCCCGGTGCCCGGCTTCTCGGCGGCTGAGCGGCATGCGCGTGTGTTCGCAGTGCGTAAGCCCTCTTTCGAGCGCTCGTCGCCGGCTCCCGGCCGGCCCAGCCGCCGTGAGTCGCATGCTGACGGATATGTCGGTCTGGACGGTAAGCAGCGGCGCACAGTGCATTGACTGGCGTGTGCACAGCCCCGCTCGGTGCGGTGTAGACCGGAGCGCGGAGGGGCACGAGAAGAGAGATGGGATGCGTTTCTGACGAACGGGTGGTGGTCAGAGGTCGAAGACGGTAGCTTTGGTGGACCCGAGCGTCCTGTGACGGCACCAGCAGGTGCCAACTGCGGGTGTGTTGAGAAGTGATGCCATTCATCCAGGGCGTTGGTATTCTGAGAAACATTTGCGCTTGGATCTGTTTACTGCATGTGCAATTTCAACGCTGTCCAACGAGATGTCAGCGCCTCTCCAAGCAGCGTGAGCACTTAAAACGGCTGAGTGTTAGCCTACCTGTTGTCATTTCCATGCAGCCCAGTATTCATACGCTGGCACCACTATCATCCGGTAGACCGTGTCGGGCCGAAGCCTAACACCCCCTCCCCTCCCTCCACCCCCAACAGACCAATCGCCGATCCAGGCGCAGCTGAACGAGATCAACCATCGCTACCAGATGGCAGGTACGCGGCTCACCGACCGGCAAGCGGACATCGACACCGTCAGCGACGAAGTGCGCCGCCACATGGACACGCTGAAGCAGCTGCAGCAGTTCCTGGACAAGACGGAGCGCCAGCTGCCGCGCGACGCCGTGCCGCAGAGCCGCGACGAGGCCGACAAGCAGCTGCGCGCCGTGCGAGCGCTCGTGGAGGAGGTGTACGAGCGGCAGCCGGCGCTGGACGGCCTGAAGACACAAGCGGGCGAGCTGCTGCGCCGGCGGCCCGGCGTGCCCGGCGCCGACCTGCTGCAGGGCGCGCTCACTGACGTGGTGGAGCGCTGGCGCGCGCTGCAGGAACGGCTCAAGGCGCGCCAGCGCAATCTGCAGGACAGCCGCCAGTTCTTCGACACGCACGACCAGCTGAATGGCTGGCTGCAGGCCAAGGAGAAGATGCTGACGGTGCTGGGGCCGCTGAGCTCGGACCCGCGGCTCGTGCAGATGCAGAGCCAGCAGGTAGCCGTGCTGAGGGACGAGTTCGCCGGCCAGTACCCCACCCTGCAGACGCTGAACCGCGTCGGTCAGGCGCTCGTGGAGGAGGCAGAGCCGGACAGTGCCACCGCGCAGAAGGTGAGCTTGACGACCGGCACCGCAGCGGCCTCGTCACAAGAGGCTGCGTTCTGTGTGTCGGCGGAAATATCATGTCAGAGTGCCTGCCGCGGGGATTGCTTTTGTTACCATTGATGTATTGTCAAAAATATGACAATGGCTATCGAAATATTTGATGAAAGCTCGATGGCAGATTCAAAATGGATGAACAAAGCGTCGTTTCGTAAAGTAGTGCCGTTATCACTGTGTCGTGCTTAGTCAGTGACCTTGTTTTACATGTTTTAAGGCACGCAACTTACCGTGTGCTAACGTGCTCAGCGATTGATGTGTCGCGCCTGTTTGTTCCCAGGTGGGAGACAAGCTACGCAAGACCAACGACAAGTGGGAGGAGCTGATCGCCAAGCTGGAGGATCGGGAGCAGAACCTGGACGCCGCCTCGGGCGCCAGCCAGCAGTTCAACGAGTCGCTGGGTCGCCTGCAGCGCGACCTGCAGAAGATCGGCGACAACTTCGACGACCTGTCGACGGAGCGCACTGAGCCGCAGCAGAAGCTGAAGAAGCTGAACCAGCTCCAGCACCAGGTGGACGAGCTGCGACCGCAGCTAGCTGAGCTGGAAGCGCTCGGTGAGGAGCTGTGCAACGTGCTGACCGACCCGTCGGCCAAGACCGAGGTCAAGGACAAGCTGTACCAGCTGGGCCGCCAGCAGAACCAGCTGCAGAAGAAGATGGACAACCTGCGCGCCGAGCTGGAGAACTCGCTGAAAGAGGACCGCGAGTTCGAGGACGGCTGCGCGGACGTACAGGAGTGGATCAAGGACTGCGTCGACCAGATGGGCCGCCCGCTGAAGGTGTCAGCCGACGCCGACAGGCTGGCGCGCCAGGTGGCAGAGTACGAGCCCGTCTACAAGAGTGTGACGGCGCGCGAGCACGAGGTGTTCCTCGTCCAGCGCAAGGGCCAGGACCTGCTCGCCAAGACGACCAACAAGCAGGAGGCCAAGACGCTGCAGAAGTTCCTGGATAAGCTGCAGAAGGACTGGGACGGCATGAAGCGGGAGGCAGTGAGTCGCCACACCCGTCTGCAGACGTGCTCCGACCTCTGCCGCAAGTACCACGCGGCGCTGGAGAGGTTCGCGCCCTGGCTGGACAAGGCCGAGGACCGGCTGGACCGCATGCAGCCCATCAGCTTCCGCAAGGCCGACATCCAGAAGCAGCTGCGCGAGGTGCAGGCGTTCAAGAACGACGTGTCGCTGCACTCGGGCGAGCACGAGCAGACGCAGTCGGGCGGCGACGCGCTGCTCGCCGCCACCGACACTGACAAGGAAGGTGTGCAGGCCGACCTGCAGCTGCTACGGCAGCGCTGGGACGCCCTGAGCGCCGCCGCCGTCGGCCGCCTGCAGGCGCTGGAGGACGTGGCCGCCAAGGTGGGCGACTTCCAGGACAAGCTGCGCGACCTGGAGCACGGCCTGCAGCGCTGCGAGGACCGGCTCGGGGCGCACGACGCGCTCGGCGGCGGCCGCGACCCGCGCATGCTGGGCCGCGTCAAGGACCTGCTGCAGGAGGCCGACCAGCTGGGCCAGCAGCTGGAGAAGGTGCGCGGCGCTGGCGACGAGCTGCGTCAGGACGCACACCAGCTGGGCTCCAGCGCAGACCACGTCAAGGACGACGTCGATCGCGTCGACCGACGGCTGCGCGACTACGTGACCAGCTGGACGACCGGCATAGCGACCTGCAAAACGCTTCGCATGCCGTCAATGAGGTCAATGAGCGGCTCAAGGGGCTCTACCACCAGCTGGGTGTGCTGGAGGAGGAGCTGGACAACATGGCGCCGGTGGCGCGCGAGGTCATCATCGTGCAGAAGCAGGTGACGGAGATCACCGTCTTCATGGAGAAGGTGGTGCACGAGCGACACGAGCTGGACGCCGCCGAGAAGACGGTCCAGGGCCTCGTTCAGGAGGTAAGGGCTGCTTATACGTTTCGCTGGCGTGGATAGCTGGCTCCTTGCTATTGATACCCACCACCTAAATTTC